CATATTGTCTGTGTGATTTCTGCAAAAAATTCAGATTTTAGTTTTTTTACCTCGACTTTATGGTTTTAAGTCAACCGAGGCCAAAAGAAAGTGGTGTCATGGATCTTTTCCAAAATAAACGTGTCTGGTGGCCATTTCAAAATACCAGCCGGTTAATGCTTTTTTGCTGTGATCTGGATGTAATTGAGACTTTGGATTGATGCACCTATTGCATTTATTGATGTTGCTGAGTCTGTCTGCTCTGTAACATAAAAGCAAGATTTAGAAGGGAACGCCCAAGTCGCAGCCCTTACTGTAAAGTAGTTTAAAGATTTTTTAAAATCTATTTAGGTTAAATGGCTGGGATAGGTTTGTGCACATGCCACAGTTTCTCTCTGAAAAAGAACACATTTTTCTTGTGTTTAACGTCTGTGCTGAAAAGATGAGTCATAATAACATGGAGCCCTTGTTTTATGTCATGATTTAGCATAAAGTCTTACATATAAAATTTGGGAATAATACAAATAGAAACTATTGAAAAGTCCATCTTATCCATGTTTAATCAAGCTTTGGGATCCACAGTATGTCCGTGTGTCTGCTGCTATGCTCTGACAACGGCACGTGGTTGTTTTCCAGCTGTTTAGTTGAAGGCACTCGTGAGGACTGGGCAGTGTCGGTCACCCGGATGGTGAGACTTATGAAGACCTGGGGATGGGCGGTGTGGGGTTACTCATTTCCTCTGTCCATTTCCTGGTGGCAGGTGCAGGATAACCACCATAACACAGATTCATCTCTGTCATGAGGCAGAAGCTGTGCCTAAACAGCCGCACACTCAGTCCCAGATGGACACTGGCACGTTTTTTTTTTTCATGCTGCTGAGTGTGTAATCATACACCCTCCCGGCACATACTCACATGCACAGCTCGAGGTATAATATTGAGTCTATCATTTGCTCTTACACATTCTCTCAGAGGCTCTCAGAGGTGGGTCGGGAGTGTGGTATATGGTGATGATGTTCTCAGAGTGTGAGTCAGATGTATTAGACAGCGTGTCATTACAGCTTTCCACTCTAGTTGGTCCCTGTGGTTCACATCACACCTTTCACTGTTGCTCAATATAGACCTACAAGGGACACACGGCAGTCTCATCTATCTCCTGCTAAACATAGCAAGTCTTTTTTCCATGTGTTTTTTTCTTCCTTTTTTCTTTTCACTGTGTCCAGTTTCTGCCTTGACTTCTGCAAATCATTCCTGCATCAAATTCAAAGAAAGTAACTGGAAAATTCAATAAAGTCCACCACTTTTCTCTAAAGTCTACACAAACAAACAAATGCATGCAAAGAGACTACAAGAAAACTAATTTTAGAAAGACACATGACGATTCATGGAGTCTTATTTGAACACATATCAAATTTGACGCTCATCTTTTTGTCATGTGTACATTATCTTTAAGCCACAGCTTCTCAGTACTGTCAAACCGCCTGTCAATCTCAAGCAGACGAATAGTAGCTTCTTTTATTATTGCTCTATTATGCTATCACTCATATACTTGATACACGACAAAAGGGAAGAATAACAACGGACCAAGTACTAAACCATTCCTAAAAGTCTGCCTCTTTTCCCTTTTTGACACCCTTTCACGTGCATTTATTTGTCTGAACACTGCTCACTGACACCTCTTATTTTCCATGAGATGTTTTAATATATTTTATTTTTGGTTTTGACATTTCAAAAAGTGTGTGCCTGACAGATGAATGCGAGCACTCCTACTGTCTGCTTGTCTCTTGCTGTCACATGCTCTTTTCAAGCGAGATTAGTGGGTACAGGTGTACTCCTCTAATTGTCATCACCAACGCAAACAACATTTTAATCCGGCAGGGCTGTTTTTTCCCTTTCATCAGGCAGAATTTCACCATGCCTTCAGGAAATTGTTTTCCCTCATACAGAGATGGATAAAGACAACACAACAAGCTCTTTTCCTTCCGCATTGTGATTGGAGGGAGGTGCTGTGCATTAAAACTATGATTACATTATCAACATAATTCTATTTACTCACCGGCCTCTCTGCTCTCCATTTTAGTTTACCGTGTCTTTCAAACTAGTGAATTTAATTCCACTTTTCCCTCTTCCCCCATTTCTCTTACTAATAAGCTACAGAGCACTGAAACTCGCTGGCTAACTGAGTTATGCGAGTTAAGGAGTAAACAGATATTTCATTCTGATACTTCCAGTAAACAAAAACACCCTTGGATGCTTCTCTGGATTGCTCTGTGACTCATGACTTATACTGGAAAAGCTCCACTTTGCCCCTTTTTGTTTATTGCAAATTCAAGTGCTGTAGGCATTCAACGTGGGGGTGGGGACATTTTCCGTTATCAAAAAATAAAATAAGACACAGACTAAACTACCCAGCTCTCAGCAGACTGGAGCCAGCTGTGTGACCCTGGAATGAGGAGCTCTGGACGGGTCACTGATGCCTGTGGACCCAGTAATCCCCCAGCTGTCTGGCCAGGACACACACACCGGCGCTCATGGGATTGTGGGCACCTTTTTCACCCACCTCCTTATGGGCCTGAAAAGACAGCTCCAAACAGGCAACCTTCGTTGGTTTAATAGATTTTCATTCAGAAAAAAAAAGCAAACAACTGAACATTTGTCAACCAATTGAAGACGATCAGTCCTCCAGGAACTCTGCACCAAACTTATGAGACGCAAAGAGGACAGATGTGTTCAGGGTGAGCTCCAGGACGGGTTGAACTGATATTAAAGAGCAAAGGCAGAGAGGTGATGGAGAGCCAAGTGCAGGAAAAAGGAAAAGGACAAAGCAATTAATATTAAAGTGGGAAAATGTGGAAATCGAGGACAGCTGAGGGGGGAAAATAAGGCAGACGGTGAAAGACGAAAAGGAAAGCCAAAGGAGGCTCCTGTCTGTTTGGGTGGCCCTGAGTTGTGTAGAGGACCCAGGTGTTCCCCCTCCTCTTTCTCTGCATCCCTCCATTCCGCTTTCTCTCCCTCTCAGTGCCTCCCCTGGTGGCCTTCACCATTTAATCTGGATTAATGAGGAGTTTGACCTTCGCCTCTCTGTTTCTGTCTTGCTCGTTCCACCCCTGCTTTGCCTCCTTGCAGAGCGCTTTCCTGGCAGGAACACGTTGTTTTCCCCCAGACTCCACATCTGCCTGTGTCTCTGCACATCTTCATTTCAGAAGGGTTTTCATTTCCCCCGGCTCCTCCCATTTTTCGTCACGGTCTTTTTGCATCTTCGGCCCATTTTCTTTCTTATCTCAAGTCTTGGCAGTCCATGCGTACACTCGAGCGTGTGTGTGTGTGTGTGTGTGTGGAACTGCGTCTTCTGTGCTCTGCTGACTGACAGGGCAGTGCTGTTCACTGTTGGGACCACCTGTGTATCCTGTCCCCCCGCTCTGTTTGGGTGGTCAGGCCTCCCAGTCCTCAGAAAATGCACTGTGCTGGTATGTGGGACACACACACACACACACACACACACACACAGATATATAGAAGTTCACGTCACCACGGTCCATGAATATCCTCAAGGGAAGTCTGCAGACACAGACTCACAACCGAGCTGTGTGCTACCTAATCTGTGGTGAGTGAGTCATTCTAATTGGCCAGTCAACAGGTGCTGAGCTCGACTCAAGGGACCCAACAGAGGAGACGTGGGGATATGATTGCAGAACAAGGGAGAGACTAAGCTCAAGGCTTCTGTATAATAACTACAGTGGGAGCCATTGTTGAAGTGTGGGAAATAAACGTCTAAAGCTGTTATTCTGTTCTTTATGGCTGATTGACATACTATTATAGCGGTTTGAATTATAGCCAGGTATTTGCCATTAGACTGCCCTTAGGGTCAGACTAAAAATGGTGACATGCAGGTTTTAGGACAACATATTCGCCGTCACCCAGATGGGGCCACGCTTATTTAATCTTGAGTGCGTCAAACTGCATTCTACATTTATTACAACACAAAGAGTCCAGAAGCTAACTGGCCTGTCTGCAGTCCAATCACCTACTAAAAACACATGTCGCATCAAGAAAACAAATGGCCTTGGGCCCAGATATCTCAGCTTAAAGACTGCTCAGTTTGAGGTCTTCCTGGAGTTTTGCAAAAAAACATTCATGGTCTCCAAGTCGGCATGACAAGCAGCTCACTGGCAACGTGGAGTTATCCATCATAACTCCTATTTGTCAGTGAGTTTGAATTTATCATTTTTCCAAACTCAGTGGAATGAGGCGAGAGGCTTTATGGCATGTGATTTTGATCCGTTGGGCACGTTGGTATTGGCTCTATCAAAAAAAAAAGAAAAGCTTGTGGCTTTTGAAAACTTTAACACTCACATTAGCCGGACATGTTTGTCACTCAGCTATGGAAACATCACATAAGATGGAAAACATTTGGGCGAGAATGAAAGGTGAGCTGCCTTCCGTTTTCTTTTCTCCTCTCCCTTTTTGCGTCCCCCTCTTCCCTCACTAGCCTCGCTCCTCCACCCCCTCCGTAGCCCCCGTGTCGCCTTACCCAGGGGTTTAGCCCCTAATCACCCACAGCTAGTGGGAGGGAACCGGAGACTTCCAGCTGGCTGCCTCGTTACTACCCGCCCCTGAGACACACGCATTCCTCCACACACAGTCTGAATGCACACACAGCCTCATATATGCTTACCAGGGCATTTGCTGTTATCTCCTGGCATCTCTCCATCCACGTCCCCCCCACAACTTGATCCTGCCAAGGCCACTGCCTCACCATGTAAACTGAATAACAGAAGGAGGCTTACCACAAGGGAGGACCAAATCTCTGTCACATCCTCCCCTTTAAACCAGTTTAAACCTGTATTCAGTATTGTCATCAACTGTATTTCAAAGTCTCAATCTATAAGCACGATGACTTCATGTCTGTAAATCCTCACTAATTCCTTCTGAGAGTCCTACAGGTCAGCTTCTTGTCTGATATGATGTAATTATGTCATCATATTTTTGAATTTCTCATAGACAACCACCTTTCTTTTACAGGAGGGACCCATATGATTATCCCACTCACTCCAGACATGTGCCAAGAGACCCCGCCCCATATGCCAGCCACCACCAGGACCCTCCAGCTCCCGGTCACCCTGGACGTGTGCCCGTCCCTCAGGCGTCCAGCCAGCCTCAGCTGGCACCAAGTTACTCACGCCACCAGCAGTCGTCTTCCCACACAGGTCAGAAACACTATGCGGCACAAAGGCAGGATGTCCCCCCCTCTCCCAGCACAGTGCACAGGGGGCGGCCTTACCATGAGGCCGTTGGAGGTAGACCGGACGGCTACCGACAGGCCAGCCCCGGCCGCTACATCAGCCCAGAGAGGTATCCGGCCACTAGGGAGCACTACACCAGCCCCGACCGCTACCGCAGTGGAGATGAAAGGCAGCCTGACCCAAGACGGAAGAACCCGTTGATAAATGCGGTATAAAAACCTCAGCTAACTCCTACAATATAAAGGTAAATGATGAGATGAAAGTTTGAAGGGTTTCAGTGAGATGTAAATATTCATATGTGTTTGGGTAGAAACATTATCAGCAAGAAAAGGATTTTTTTAATGTACAAACGGAATTAAATGAAATGAAGAACAAACAATTGACCTATATGCTGTGAGAAAACTGGTGCCAAATATTGTAAAAAATGAATTATATGTGTTAAAAGTGGAGTAGACTTGTATTTTGCACAAACTGATCGCATTGAAGGAATTTAAGTGGGTTCATCTTGACCAGCTTGACTCCTAAACTCAAGAGGAAGTTAACAAACAGGAAGAGGAAGTAACAGCCCTTCTTGTGTCTTCTGGTCCTTGTTTTGTCGCTTGGACTCGCTTGTTTTTTTGGTGGTTTTTCCTATGATTATTTGATGAGACGCTGCCTTTGTGTTTAGTGCATCCTGGCATTGCTAATAAATGTATTTGTGATAGTTTACTGGGCAATTAATGAAATGTAAAAATCTTGATAAGCACAAATGTTGTGGGTTATAAAGGTAAGCTATGTAACTCCCCGTGTTTCGTTCAGCTAATAAAGAATTAAAGTAAACATTTTAGAATTTAACATATGATACCCTAAATTGACTGCATTGAAAATATAAGCGTACTAGTTTGATTTAAATATGATGTCAACTACAGTGTGTGATTTCTTTTTTTAACGGAAACTTTGCAATAAATATTTTGAGATTTTCATCCTATGCCCTTTTCCAAGTTCATTTGGTCCCATTTCATCCATTCAGTTAGTTAGGGTATGCGTCACACTTTTATAATGTATTATGGTGTTAACCTTGATATTTTTGGGTGCTATCTCCAGATAAATTTGCCCCCTGAGATGACTGATAAGAGTAGCCAGTCTTCTGATAATGACTGAATCATCTCTAACAATTAGAGGCAGGGAAATCTCCCCTAGAAAATGATTAATGCCCAATTTGCTCTCAGACGTAAAGATGGCACTGATTGGTGAAATTAGCCTTCATATGGGGTATAATTGTCTGTGTGGAGAGGGCTTTTTCTATCTGTTAATGTTTAATTAGCATCAAGGCCGGTAGGGAGCTGGCATATGCTGATCTGTCTCTGAGTCTCTGCATTGGCATGACCCAGCCGTCTGAGCCAAAATAGACCTCAAACCAACTAGCGTCGACAGATAAGTGTTAATCATTTGCTTAATTTAAAGCACTTAGGCATGTGGCGCACATCCTCCTGACCTAATTCAGAGGAGACGGTACCTGTTTGATGAAGTGACAGACAAATACTTATCACACATTTTGATGCACGGAGCACTTTTGGAAACAGTTATACAATGCATCTTACAAACCAAAATAAACAAGAGAAGGAAAAAGCATCTGTCTGCTTGTATCCTGTGATAACAAAACCAAGGAAATTACATGCTGATAACTTCAATCAATCCAACGCACATAAACAAGCAAACCCAAAGCATCCTAGTCACATTTTATAAATAAAACTATGATGTCTGCTTTAGGCTTCAGACAAAACGACTAAGATTATTAAATGAGGTTCCAGCTGTATTTCCCAGTTTACAGTGTGCAGGGAGTGCCCACCACATAATGTGGGCTGCACATCTTTACCATTATGAGACCCATGGCACGCTAATGCTAATATGCTAGTGTGGTAATGTCATCTATATTCATGCCATGACTGGAAAAAGCATGAATATCGAGCACCAGATCGGGCTTAAGCTCTAATATTATCTTATCTCACATACCACTGTAATGCCATTGAAGAGTTATGAAAGTGTGCAGCAGCTGCATGTCAGGGGAAAATGCTTGTAAATGCATGTTACCTTCAATTAAAACGAGTGCATTACCCAGTGAGGCAACATGTAATCAAAGAAAGTGATTTAAGGTTACTGCATGTTGTCAGGGATATTATTGTCCTTAATAATTAAATCAAGGAAACAAAATGAGTTTAGTATTTGGATTAAAAGTCCTTGTAGAACTATCGGTGTGACTGCTTTAAGTGCAGGTTCCTCTGATTTTGAGTATAAAATCTGACATTGGAGAAAAAAACAAATGGATAGTCCATTCAATGTTCATCAAATGTTCTGTTACCAGTAAGCCCTCATCCTTGGGAAGCTTATGTTGTTGAAATGACTTGTCAAAAGTGAAGGAAAAAAAGATAACTCCCTGTCGACTTCTGTTTTGGATTAATTATTTTTAACCCCCCAACATCACTTTAATGTGTCTGCATGTTTCTGGGTCATTCAAAGCGTCTTTTAAATACATCACAACTAAAAACATTAGTGAACTTAAACCTTTAGTTCTTTTAAACTATCGGAAAACAGTCTGTCAATATCTTCTGTGGTCCAACAAAGTCTGTGTCTTATCTCATTTACAATGGGGGCAACGCAACTTAGAGCACTTAAGCCGGCCTCACTGGCTCTTCACTGTACTTAAAGAATAAGTAGGCCGTAAACAGCTTCCTTCCAAGTGCTTGTGGTCAGTTTGCTGCCAAAGATAATAAACGACAGCAACTTAATTTCCAGGAATTAATTGCACTTTATGTCCATTAAACAAAAGCCTTGAGCTGGCTGTCAGGAGTATTTGGTTGTAACACCCATCCTACTGAAAAAAGCCTGTTCCACCCACTCTTTATGTAATTAGTTACAGTCTGCATGAGTCTTGTGAGCGCCTCCACTTTGTTCATGGTCATCCAGAAGGAATTTGTTTGTTCAGTCACATGCTACACTTTCTTTGATGGGATGCGGTCATGGGTGTTGATTTGCAGATGGACATGTTATCATGCTTTATATAAGCTCACTCCTCATGTGAAGACATTTTTCTCTCTGCCTGCATGACCTTTGATTTCAAGAAAGACCAAGGCCTTTCCTTAATAGCTATTAATCTGCTCTTTGCACCACTCCTCCTTTGGTTGAATTCCTCTGTGCTTTTTTGGGAATTTGGTAAATACTCTTACATCCCCCCTCCCCTGGTTTATCACACAGGGTTGTGCCACAACTAATTTGACACCTCATAAGCCCAAATTTTTGTTGCAGCTCTGTAAAAAACTGAGAGGCACATGCCGTTCCCCCGTCGTTTGTCATGAATCCCGGCTTGAGGAAGAATTCCCCGATTAACTTCTATTAGCATTACCTATCCTGCCGGTGCCCTGCTGAACACCTCGGCTTGTTAGCATGTGTCAATCAAAAGCTGTGCTCCCGGGAGGGCAAAGTGGAGAGCTGAAACAGTTATCTCTCTCCTGCACAGCCCCTAAAAAGACAGTGGGAGTGTTAGAGATGTATATACAGTGGACACCGGTGTGTGTGTGTGTGCGTGTGTGTGTGTGAGTGTGTGTGACTGTGCACTACAGAAGGAAGCCACGGCTGAGTGCCCACGTTGACCTCGGCCTGCTCTCGCCTCCCCCCTTTCTTGCTCTTCATTAAAGGCACATTCCACTGTATTAGCCCACTGTCCTTCTGTCCTTCACCTGCTGCCATTTGTTTCAATTCAGGCCTCGTTATGGCATCGTGGTCTCGAGTCGAGCCGGAGCGGGCCGAGCGGAGCTTCTCATGTAATTATACAGTTCATTAGAAAGCTGGCCCACTCCCCTGCTTACCAAGTCTGAGGCAGATCATGGGAATAGCTGGTGGCTAATGTGCAGTTTAAACAGCCTGAATATGGAGATGGCCGAATTATGGATTACCATTAGCCGTTAGCCTGCCCTTCACCCCCCTCATTCGCTTTTATGTCTGCCGTGTAGCCTTTTGATACAGTATCACTCAAGCTGGAGTGTGCTCTTTCAGCCAGTGTGTTTGTTTGATATTGTTCACGAACTGTGAAATTGAATTTCCACAGCTGGGCTGATATTGGAAATAATTTCATATCCTCTGCAATATTCCTGCTCGGTTTCACCTCCTGTTTAAGACGTCTATTTGTGCTTAATGCCTCTTTCTCTTCTTCTTTTGCAAAGACGACACAGCAGCGCTGTTAATTTGAAACATATTTGCCCAAGAAGCAGTGCTGGTTTTCCGGCTGCCTCGCTGCTCGCCCACACACCAACGCCGAGCCACCAGCCGCTGTCTTTTCCATCACCTGTCACCATGGCAACGTGGCCGCCGCTCCTGGCACAGCAGCCCCTTTCAGAGCTGATGACTTCGTCGTGGCAACAATGAAAGGTTCATATATCCCATTATGGTAACGAGAGGGCTTTTCTTTTTTTTCTTTTTTTTTGGAAAGGGTCACTAAGCTCCTCGCCCCTTAAGTACAGTAAGATCCTTAAAACAAATGGGTGGCTTAATCTTTGTTCCAAAATCATCTGTAGTAGGCTTACAGCTGAGGAGTGGGTGCCGTGTGGGTGTGTGTTAAGATGGATACAGACCTGCTCTGGGAAGACTTTTTGTGAGGCTGTTAGGCAGAGCCAGGCCAAGCCAACATGGAAGCCAAATTTGATTCAGGGGCCTGTATTTCTGCCAGTGATACTGATTACTGATCATTGACCCGCCTTCAATAAACTCATTCCATGTAAGAACCTTCTTTCGGACTGGGCACAAAGCACATATTTACAAAATAAATTTTAGATAAGGTGAAACTAAATATACCAATGGATTAACATTTACTGTAAACCTGTCATCTCGTTTATGATATTTTAATGAAAAAATGCAAAAACAATGTGCAAAAATCCTTGGTGGAGCATGAAGGAAGGAACTTCCTGTTCAAAAGGTGCTAATGGAGGGCTTTCAGCAGCTCTCTGTTGACAGGAAGTTGTTTTCTAGCACGATAACATACATTTGAAAAAGTGATTATTGCTTACAGTTCCACAAAAAAGGAGAAAATAATAAAATAGTATTTTTTAACTGCTCCCATGAGCAGTCATGGGCCCAAAAGCAGCTGTTTTTTTTTTTGTTTTGTTTTTTGTTTTGCTGATGCCTCAGGTTCGTTCTGCTTTTAGGATTTTCTTTATTTGAAATCCAATCCCTCTTTAAATTCAGC